TCTTCTGGGGATGGTAGGGTTTGGGGAGCCCCTAAGGATATGGAAGGGTCCCCTGAGGGTCTGGAGACTCTACAAAGTGCATGCAGGGTTCCCCAGAAATTTGGGGGGTCCTAGGAGGAGTCCTCAGGGGTCCTGGGTGCTTGTGGGGGCATCAAAGGGGTCTGTGGGGGTTCTGCTGGGGTCTCACCGGTAGCAGTCATTGTGGAAGCGGTTGTAGCTGCCCAGAGCTGTCAGCGCACCAAGCCCAATGGCGTAGGAGAAGAAGATCTGTGTCCCCGCATCAATCCACACCTGGGGGCGAGGGTGAGGGATGAGACACCTGGAATCAACTGCCTCCCACCACAGGGAACCCAGGCATCTGGCCCCCAACCCAGGTATCTGGGCCCCCTCCCAGTAGAGAACCCAGCAGTCTGGGACCCCCCAACCATGCATGGAACTCCAGTGTCTGGGACCCGCCCCCTCCATAGAGAACCCAGGAGTCCAGGACCCCCTTCCATCACAGGGGAGCCAGGCACGCAGGTGGCACCTGGGGGCGGGCGAGCTGGGCCCAGTCCGGCTGCAGGTAGAAGCGGACACCAGTGGCAGCACCAGGCAGCATGGCCCCGCGTACCAACAGTGCCAGCAGCACCACATAGGGTAGCAGCGCTGTCACATACACCACCTGCTAAGGGCAAGAGCCAGGCATCAGAGGTAAACCTCAGGAGCTGCCCACAGTTCCATAGACCTCTAGAGATTCTAGAGACCCCACCTCCATATCCCCAGCCCTGCCAGAACCCATCAGCTCCCTCCCTCTCCTTCAGCCCCCTCAAGGTCACAATGCCCACCCCCCCCAAAACCTTCTCCAGGACCTCCCAGACCCCTCCAATTCCTCCAGCCCCACCAGGCCCTCCCATAATCCCCTGCAGCCCGCCCTAACCCTCCAACACCCCTAGATCCCCCCAGGCTCCCAACTCCTCCAGGGACATCAGAGCTGGCCCCAAAGCCCCCCCAGGCCCCCCACATCCCCTCCAGGAACCCTCAGAGCCCCCAACTCCTCCACACACCCCCAGAGCTACCTCCAGAGCCCCAGCTCCCCACCTTGCCAGCGGAGCGGATGCCCTTCCAGACGCAGAAGTAGACGAGGGCCCAGCAGACTACAAGACAGAGCACAAGGTCCCCACGCAGCCGCCCTGGTTCCTCTAGTCCCCCTGAGAGCCCCAGCACCCGGTTCCTGCACACAGGGAGGCATTAGGAGGAGCATGAGCTCTTGAGGGGACATGGGGGTCAGTGCCTGGGGGCACAAAGGAGCACAAGGGGGCATGAGCTCACAAGGGAGCATAAGGGGTCACGAAGGGCATGAGTGTGAGCTCATGAGGGGCATTAGGGGCATGAGTGCACAGGGAGTGAATACACAAGAGATGTGAGGGCATGAGTGTCATGGGGAGGCATGAGATGGATTGAGGAGCACAAGAGAGAACGAGGGCGATCATAGCACCAGGGCCATGAGCTCATGAGGGGGCACAACCCACCCCACCAAGGGGCATGAACTCATGATGGTGGGAGTGGGGATCATGTAGGGGTTCATGCAGGGGTCAGGGGTCACACTCACTCCCAGAACTCGAGTACGGGGGAGCGGAAGGGAGCATCGCTCTGGGAGCTGTTGCTGTGAGAGCTGTTGCCAAGGGGCCCATCATGGCAGGCAGGGCTGTTCCAGGAGTGGCCACAAGTGGCCCAGGGCAGGTCTCCACCGCTTGCCACTGCCCCAGCCACAGCACTGCCCAAGTAGAAGAGGGCCCAGGACAGCACCAGCACGTAGTAGGTGTTGCAGTAGAACACGATCAGCAGCGACGCCAGTCCCAGCCCTGCCAGGGTGTCAGAGATCAGGAGTTGGGTGTCAGGGGCACCTAATCTAGGTCTGACCCTGGGTGGGGGTGGGGTTTCTCTTGCCTAAGGGGACCCAATGCAAGCCTGATTCTGGCCCTATGGTGGGGGAGAGGCAAGGATTCCAATCCGGGCCTGATCCTAGGGAGGGTCTTGCCCCCCTGAGAGCCCTGATTCAGGCCCAATTCTGGAAGGAATGGGCAGGTCTTTCCCCTCCCCAGGGGCCCTGATTTGGGCCTGACTCTGGCCTCATTCTTAGGGGGAGAAGGGAGAAGTTGGAGACACAATCCAGGCCCGATTCTGGGGGGGGGGATATCAGGGGGCCCTGGGAGGTCACTGACCTTTGAAGAGGGGGGCAATGTTCCAGGCTGAGAGGCTCCCGGCCTTCATGAACTGCCCCAGCGAGATCTCAAGGAAGAAGATGGGGACCCCCCCGAGCACAGCCATCAACAGGTAGGGGATGAGAAACACTCCTAGGAAGGCATGGGGAGGGGAGGGGGGAGGAGTCAGGAATAGCTCCACTGTTCTTTCTCTCACTCCCAAACTGCAGCCCCCACCTTCACCCTGCAGTGTCCCTCACTCCCGACCCACAGCCCTCCTCAAAACTCAGGGTGCCCCTCACTCCCCACCTGCAGTCCCACCCCCCACCACCCCCATAGAACCATGGTGTCCCTAATTCCCATTCCTGGTGGTGCTAGCATGTGATGGGGTGTGTGTGTGTGTGTGTGTGTGAGGAGGAAATCTATTTATATCCTGGGCTCTCCCTGCCCCTCCCCACACTGCCCCCCATAGCTCATTTCATAATCCCCCTCCATGTTGTGGGGTGGGAAATTAACACTGAGGGGAAGGGGACACCCATGAATTTTGCATGCCCCACACATATATGTTAAAGAGTGTGCATGTGTATGCACATGCATGTGCAGAGGGTTCCTAAAGCAATGACGGAGGGGAGGTGGGGGGCTGCAGGTTAGGAGTGAGGGGCATCATGGGGCTAAAGGAGGGGGCTGCGGGTGGGGAGTGAAGGGCACTGTGAAGCTGTGGGTGGGGTGCGGGTGTTGACAGGCTGATAGACAAGGACACATGGGAAGTGGGGGCAGGGGGTTGGACAGACAGACAGATGGAAACAGGCGGAGGGGGGGAGAGGGGGGCTGGGCAGGAGTGGGGAGTGAACAGCTCCCCTCTATACCCCCCGAGTACCCCCAGCCCT